TCTCCACAATTTCTTATTCTTTGTAGCTCTTAATAAATTTTCTCTTTTTGTTATTTCTCTTAAATGTTGTTCCGCCAACCCAATACTCAAGCTCATCTAGAATAGATCTAAATAGATAGATAAATAGATAGATAGATAATAATATATATATATATATATATATATATATATATATATATATATATAGAGAGAGAGAGAGAGAGAGATACGCCGAGAAAGAAAAGAAACAAAGAATCAAAGTAGAGAAAATAAGGGCGAAAGAAGAAAATCAATAAAGAATTTTATTTTGAAGCGCACAATAGAAGAGGAAAAAGGCAAAATAATCTTGGAAGAGGAATAATAATAATAATAATAATAATAAAATATGTCATATGGGAACATCAACAATCCCTGTCGTAGTTGGAGCCCTAGGACTGGTTGGAAAAGATTGCAGTAGACTAATTGAAGGGATTCCTGGAAGTTCATGCCTCAAGGAGACACAAAAATTGTTCTGACAAGTACAGCCCACACTTTACGAAGGGCTTTATCTATGTAATTTTTTTTTTTTTTTGGTCAGTGGAAAGTGTCATGATGCCATTTCTAACCTTAGGTCCCTGGGCGGGACCCGGAAAGAAATGTGTAAACGCCAGAAATCAAAGAAAATAAAAACAATAATAATAATAATAATAATAATAATAATAAGAAGAAGAAGAAGAAGAAGAAGAAGGAGGAGGAGGAGGAGGAGAAGAAGAAGAAACAGAAACCTCAACAGAATTGTAGAAAAAACAAGAAATGAATTTTTAAAAATTGAAACAAAATGAAACATAAATATTTCCGGCTACAAATTCTGAGTTTTCTTAATGCCCTCAATATTTACGTGATGAGCAGAAATAGAATGAAATTATTTTTAATCTCCTCCTTAAATACCCTAATAATTTCATATTCAACCCGAAACAGGAAGCTCATCAAGTATTTCAGAAGACAAGAATAAATCTATATATTATTCTACACACCAATTAATATCACAGCTACAATTGAAAAGAATTTGTCTAAGCTTAACATTACAACTACTTCCAAAACCATAAGAGATGTAATTAATGCAAATCAAAATAATATTGCGCTAAAATTTGAAGAAGGAATTTTACTCTGTAATGATTGCCACAAGAAAAGCGTAGGAGAAACCTCGAGGAATTTAAATGAAGTTTATATGCGAACAAAAGAAATATTTTACAAAATAAAATACTATGCATTAGTCGGCAAAAATGCTTAACTGTATCATAATGAGTTTGACTATAATTTCGATTGTAAAAAATGCTGCTTAAAAGAAATCACCGAAGTTAAGCAACATTGAGTTTGGTCAGTACCTAGATGAGTAACCGACTGGAAATACCAGGTGCTGTAAACTTGGACGTACGGTTAGTGTAAAGGATAATGGCGTGAAATTGAAAATCGGAGAACCGAGTCCCGGTTCCAATCAGGTTTGTTATATTCACTTAAGCGCAAATACCCTTGGTAAACTTATGAATCCATCTCTTTTCCCTCGAACTATGGGTTAATTAATAAGTAAATCAGTAAATGATTATTATCTAAATAAAAAAATCTTACAAACTAAAAATATTTTCTGGCTTTAAATAACCTGCAAAATAAAGCGTAAAACATTGCTATGACTTCTTGGGGAAGATAGTGGAGTAATTTCCAGTTGCCTTCTTCACAACTTTGAATTCATGGTTTTCCTTTTCCTAGAAGGCTAGAAAGTCTACTATAGTATATAATCTATAACTAGGGTTTGGGTTCAGTTTGTTTTACGGCAAAACAACCTCAATGGGTAATAACTCATTGAGGTTGTTTTGCCATACAAGATTTTTAGAATAGATTCGTTTCTTAGTTCGTTTTTCAACTTGTTATATAAGAACAATGTCGTTGCCGACATTGTTGTTTGAAACTAGATCGCCAGTGAGTTACACGGGTGATTCCATTATTAAGTAGATCACGTGATCATAAAGGAAGTGAATAAGTAGGAAGTCGCTTGATGACTATACAATCACTGTTCACTCTTTTTGTCTATCCATTATTGCTATATGTTTACTCTCTCTAATACTATACGGATTATGATTCTCTTCTGATCAGTATACTATTTGGCAATTACTACTTGAACAAGTATTACTATTGGGGATAATATTGAAAGGCGTTACTACTAGTACTGTCGTCTACGAAGTCTCGAATATAACGAGCTTATTTGGGAGTGATAACGAGATTTCGCTTGATGTAGCAAAAGTGACAAGCGAGGCTGTCTAATATCACAAAACTACTCCTTATGGGCCATTTAATGTCGAAATTTAATTTTCTTTGGAGTATTATTAATTACTTATATATATTATATATATATATATATATATATATATATATATATATATGTATATTATTCGGACTATTGTCCTCATCTTTGTCGCCATATTTATCACAACGTTTCGACCGTTGTACGCTCCGGCCTTCTTCAGGTGGTTGGAATGTCGAACTGAACCCTTTATTTCGCTCACTGGGTAGACTGTTCTAGTTCCACGTGCCATGTTTGATGGATGTCAGTTATAAGTTACCTTCCTGTTAATTCCCCTTTAACCGGGTATTGAACCACACTCTTTGGGTCCTGTCACTGGATCTAACCAACGTTTTTATCCACTGTGCCTTGAGGACACGTGGCACAGTTGCGATAATATGGCGACAAAGATGATGACGATAGTCCGAGTAATGTAAATAATGTACATAATACCTCATGTCAGAAATACATATATATATATATATATATATATATATATATTTATATATATATATATATATATATATATATAATTAATATATATATATATATATATATATATATATATATAAATATATTACTAGTACTTTACTATAAAAATCCATTTTTATATTTCCATAGTGTTTTGACCTCAGTTTGGGGGTTCACTATTCGCCCATAGCTGGGACCCTAACATGTGCTACCACCCCGTATCAGGGTGGACCTGGGAACAACAGCAATTAAGAAGTTGTTCCACGCTTCACAAAATCTCCCGATCAGAGGCCTTGATACCGGATGTAGTTTATCGTCATACCCAGGACGAATAGCTAGGCGTGAGAAGAGGTGGATTCACGCCTACGCCAAATGCATGTTGGAAATGAATTCAACAAACTAGGCTGTAGACTGAACCCGACTTGCCGACTGTACTTTCTGTTACGCCACCCGCACATCATTATAAATGAAGAACAAGTAATGAAGTTGATAAATTTTAGAGAGAAAAAATTTCTCTGTTTACGTGAGACTTTTAATTAAAAGTTCGAGATGTTCCGTAAAAAAGATTCTGGCAAAGTTATAAGCTAATAAACTGTTTGGGAATTTTTTAGAGGTTCCCAATTTTATTTTTAGCTGAAGAAAACGATCGCAAATTACAAGACAGACATAATGTGTTAATGGTAATTGTAGTATTAACCGTTTCCCTATAAGGAAACATTTGGCATCTATTGACCGAGCTGTTTTTGGTTGGAATTTATAAAATCTTTCTCCGAAACAATTTCTCAGGAAAATTGTTTTATCAAATTCAGTAGCTTTTATCTCTCCTTCCAAACCTTTTACCTTTTACTAAGACGTACAGGCTTCATTCAATGGAAACCATTTCTAATAATTTGTACAATCATTAGCAATGGTAATGGTAGTATTAACCGTTGGAATACACTTTATCTGCTTTCTTCTCCCCTTTTCCTTTTTCTTTGTGGATGAGTTGAATATTTTTACAGGCCAAAATACCTCCCCAAAATCTTGCAATTGAGCAGTTTATGACTGATCAGGTAACAGCAGTTCTACATGCATATAAGGACAACACCTTTTTGGGCAGATGGCCACAATTTTATAACTTATGGAATAAATAGAACAAAATATTTGCACTTTGGTCATAGTAATGATGGTAATGGTAATAATAGCCGTTTCCTTATAAAGAAACATTTGGCATTAATCGACCAAGCAGGCAATACTACTTTTGGTTAAAACTTATAAAATCTTTTTATTAATACGGTTTCTCATGAAAATAAGTTTCTCAAGTACAGTAGCTTTTATCGCTCTTTCCAGTATTGATGGGGTCTTCCTTCTTAACCTTTTGTTTGATGAAGACTGGAAAGTCTTCATCAGGATTATGTCATCATTCTCTCTTTGATGTTATATGTGCTATCCATTTTAGTTGTTGCAGCTGCCGAAAGTCCCCAAGTGATATTGTTTTATTACTTGATACAGTCCTTTGTGATTCTCTAGGGCTAATCCACGAGGATCGATGAATGTGTCCCAATGGGTTATACTTTTTCCCACACTTGCAACTATATCTTAATACACAATTCGAAAAGCTGCAAAAGAGAAAAGAAACTGTGAAGATAAATGCACGCCTTTATATAGGCTTAAGGAGCGCTTCCTAGTGATGTTTTTTTAGCAAAGAGGAATAACCCAAAGGATTATGTAGCGGCAGTGCATGAGGTTCGAAGAAGGATGGTCCTTGCTAATACCTACACACTTCATTCACTGGAAGCCATTTTTGATCATTCATAAAATCATTAGCAATAGTAATGGTAGTATTACCTTTTTCCTTATAAGGAAACATTCAGCAATAATTGACCGATCAGCCAGTATTGCTTTTGGAATCTTTTTCTTAAACAAATTCTCAGGAAAATAGTTTCATCAAGTTCAGAAGCTGTTATCACTTTTTTCCAGTTTTGAAGGGGGTCGGTTCCAGCGTAATCTTTATTCATGTTAAATGTCAACATCATGATTATGCCATTATGTTCTTTTCCAGTAACATGTGCTATACACTTTAGCTGTTGCTGCTGTTGGTAGTCTTAAAGTTATGTGTTTTTTTTTTTTATTATAATATTCTTTATTATGAAATAGTTTAATATTAGCTTTTAAGAAAGGATGAATCCTACGTGGTCGGGGATCAGACACAAAAATATGGAATCAGGAATCTTTAAAACATAACACCTGATTTTAGTTTCTGTTCTCTCTTTTTACGTCTCCAATTTCTCCCCCCCTCTCTCTCTCTCTGCGTCTCTTTCTCTCTGTCTGTCTCTCTCTCTGTCTCTCTCTCTGTCTGTCTTTGACTGTCTCTTACTTTCTCAAGTACCATACTCTCCAGCTATGGAGCCTGGAGGCACAACCCCAACATGCTAGGCGTTCAGTATTTACATTAGTCGGACTATTGTCCTCATCTTCATCGCCATATTTGTCACAACGTTTGTTGTTGTACGCCCGGCCTTCTTCAGGTGGTTGGAATTTCGAACTGAACCCTTTATTTCGATCACTGGGGTAGACTGTTCTAATTCCACGTGCCATGTTTGAAAGTGATCGAAATAAAGGGTTCAGTTCGAAATTCCAACCACCTGAAGAAGGCCGGAGCGTACAACGGCCGAAACGTTGTGACAAATATGGCGACAAAGATGAGGACAATAGTCCGACTAATGTAAATGCTGTACATAATACCTCATCTCAGAAATATAGACAAACTATGCTAGGCGTTGTTGATACGCTGTCTACAGCCAATAGGTTTGTCTGCATTCTCCCAGTTTAGCGATTAGCTACTTCAATAATTAAATGTATAAGCTTTGAATATTTTGTATCACATGAAATAATGGCGATTAATAGAATACATGCGCAAAATAACTGCCCAATTGATTTGCAATGTAAGATAGCATTTATTAAAACAAAATTAACAAAATGAAACTTTTAAAAAAGAGTTTCAAAACATTGCATACCCAACGAAATGTTTATGAATATGTTAGAGTGTGACCTTCTGTATTGGTGTGTTTTAGTGTGAAGCGTTCACAGCCCTTCTAGCTTCAGCGTGGAAAGTTCATAGCACGCAGTTCGAAAGCGGAAAACCCGGAGGAGAAAGAGTTACTTTAGGTTTCATGTGTTTTTATATTCGAGAACTGCTGATGATACAAGGTTTATTTAGGCTTGCTACTGCTACAATGTTTAAGTGCATTACGCTATTATGAAAGATCTTAATATCAGGATTTTAAACAGAATGCATAATTTGGTGTGGTGGGAAAACCCGCCAAAATTAGACGGAGACAGATATCTACGTTTGGGCAGATCGATTTTGGTACCGTGGCGTTGGACTCAATTTGAAAGTTGGTGTTTGACAAGATAAATAATAACGCAAAATATTTACTTTCCGAATCAATCCCGTTTTTTTGAGAAAACAAGTTTAAGAATTAAGTTTACGTTCAAAATTGGAGCCTTGAATTTTCATTCCGATGATCAGTAAAAGCTTTATAAAATTTATAATTGAATTATATACAGTTAGTTGGTTTGAAATTAAAAGGGATAATAAATTCCATGGCCAACTGTATATCTTCTACCTGATCCAAAGAATAAAGCGACAGTCCATCAAAATAGATAATGTTGAATGAAAAAATTTACAGCGCTATGCCTTCGTCTTGCTTCCAGAAAATATTCTTTTCTCAATGTTGAAGTCGGAAGAATTGGAGGTAAAGAACGAGACTATAAAAAATTGTTCATTAGATAGGTAAACATTTATTCATACTGTTAGGTTAGGACCAAGGAAGAACAACACGAACACAAGAGTAGAAATAACGAAGGTATATTACACGAAATAATAATACAAGATGTGGAAGGTGTTAGTATGACTGTCAGTCTCGTTTGGAGTGAACTACTATCCGCTCGACTCGATTAGGTATCGAGCCAACCCCCTCCAGGAGGGTTGCATGTGGCACAAGGCCGAGTTTAACGTGGGTTTCCGGAGCCCGTAGGCTCGGATAAAAAATGCCCATAGAACCCGTATAAACGGGATCGGGTTGGTCAACCTCCCCGAACGAGACTCTGCCCTTCGGCGGAGCCTCGTCAGGGTTCCTCTCTGAGAGTCCGACCGTCAAGCCGAGATTCTCGGCTTGATTCGGTATCTAGCCACCTCCCCACGAGGGTTGCATGTGGCACAAGGCCGAGTTTATCGTGGGTTTCCCGAGCCCGTAGGCTCGGCCAAAAAATGCCCGTAAAACCCGTCTAAACGGGATCGGGTTGGTCAACCTCCCCAAACGAGACTCTGCCATTCGACGGAGCAGCGTCCGGGTTCCTCTCTGCTCAGAGGCAGAGAGTTCGACCGTCAAGTCGAGAAGCTCGGCTTGATTCGGTATCTAGCCACCTCGCCACGAGGGTTGCATGTGGCACAAGGCCGAGTTTTACGTGGGTTTCCCGAGCCCGTAGGCTCGGCCAAAAAATACCCGTAGAACCCGTATAAACGGGATCGGGTTGGTCAACCTCCCCAAACGAGACTCTGCCCTTCGGCGGAGCCTTGTCCGGGTTCCTCTCTGCTCAGAGGCAGAAAGTTCGACCGTCAAGTCGAGAAGTTCGGCTTGATTCGTCCCTCTCTCTTGAGAGGCGTAGTATACATAGTGTTAGGAAGAATTCATTCTGTAGTTATAGGTAAGGACCCATGACACATATTAGTTATATCAATTTACAAGATTAATTTCAAAATTTCGTTCAAATTGCATTAAAAAAAATACCCAATTACGGGTAAATTTTCTATTTTTTTTTTGTTTCCGAAGTAACGAGCCATCAAAGAAGTGATTTAATATATTCAATTCATAAACTCTGAATTATGATGTAATACGCTATACAGTAATATGTAAAAATATGTAAATATATAATATACTTATATATAATATAATGTAAATATATAATATATTTATATATATATATATATATATATATATATAATATATATAATATACATATATAATATATATATAATATATATATATATATATATATATTATTTTATGTAAATAACAGTTATATTTAAAAAATATGCTATAGAGTTATATATTATACAGTGTAGAAGTTTTAGCGCGATTTTCAATAGACAATTCAAATTTAAAACATTTTGTTTTATTATTTGTTCCCAGCAGTATTATAGTGTTACATAGTCTTTTATTCTTTTCATTTTTATTAATTCTGACCGAACAAATGGTGTATTCATTCATTAGCCTTTGTTGTAAATCTTTTACAATTTTTACAGTTTCCACTTACCGAAAACAATAAAAAAAATTGCATATTTTGCTTGAGGTGATTCATAACTAGAATTCTCATTCATTATATCTAAGATTAACCCTTGTCTTGAAGAAGTTACAATTGCAGCGTTCAGGGAAGCACCCACGCAGGAGTATATTCAACAAAGTGGCAGTTTCGGTGAAAAAGCTATCAGAGTGGATTTTTTTCTTGCATTGAGAACACAGGGGAAATGAGTGTGTTCTTTTTTTAATAAAATATGTTAGACTTTATCTACTACAGGTTTCAAGAGCCACTCAAAGTAGAAGGTTACTATTACAATGCTAATAATGAATGAAGTGTGTGATATGAATGAAAGAGGGGGAAGTAGAAAGCGAAGATTATGAGGATAGTGAGGATAGATAATGATTGACACTTGAAGCATCCACGGGGAAGTCTGTTCCAGCGAATAATAATTCTTGGGGAGAGATTTTTGAGTTAAACTTTTCTCTTATATTTGGAAAAACGGGGGAAATTATGGTGATTCAACTCAGTGGAAGCAGCATGGTGTGTCCTAGCTGTGAAGGTCTGAACTGATCAAACTGTAAAACTCATGCAGTTTGGGAACCAAACTGCATGAATTTAAGCGTGCTACTAGGTTGGTACCTCGGTTCCACCTTTTCACTGTCGAAACAGTTAAATGTAACCGACTCTTCTACTCTACTTCCGCCCGCACTTCCCACCAGTGGAACTCTCTTCCTCTTACTTGCTTCCCAGATAGGTATAATCTTCAAATATTCAAATGTAATGTCAATCGACATCTTCTAATGCCTTGATCCTGATCCCCATCCTTCTCTATATCCTTTCCTCAAGCACCCCTCTTTACTCTTGCTCTCACTTTCTGTAACCCTTTGCGTGCTAGTGGCACTCCTGCCCTGCTTGGGGTGATATGCTTAAAAAAAAGAATAAGGCTATTATATGTCTAATATAAATACATTGCTATTTTTAAGGCACTTGTGACATTCTCAGCTCGTATAATATAATCTGTTACAGATACATTTTCTCGTCTCTTTAACGCGGTTAGTTCAGTATATAAAGCAATAATTTTAGGCTTACCTTTTGACAAGTAGTGTTCACGCAATATCTGTAGCGCTTGGCGTCCATTGTCTTTGGCTTCCCGCATTATTAAAGACAAACTTCTATCATCTAAGCATTGTATTAATTCAGTGAACACGATTGCATTTTTTTTCATAAAATCATCATCCCCCTTCTGGTCCTCTTCGCAAAGGATGATGTCATGGAGTTTTTGTATTCTAAGGTAGCCTAAGAATTTCATTTCCCACAATTCATATCTCGATTCATTCCCGTCAAAATATAGTCGTAGTCTGCGCTCATAACCAATGTTGTTCATGATGACGGTCGTCTTTGAGTATAGAATCCAGAGGTTAGCAGTGAATATTTCGAAGACAGTAGGGAAGCGTTGTTCAGGTTAGCAGTGGATATCCCGGTAAAAGTAGCAGAGCGTAGTTCTTCCTTCTGTTTCTCTTCGCCTGACAAACTGGCACTGGACATTCGGATAGAGTAAACAAAATGGCCGCCTTTATACACGACGGATTGAATATTCTACGTCTTCTGATTGGTTAACCTTCTATTGGTGGACTATAAAGTGAGTCAAGTCATTTGGGCTAGCTCACTAGTACCATATGCAACAAACTGCAACAAGCATTACTGCTAGAATAGGGTTATTATCAGAATAATGTAAAAAGCAAGGCTAATGTTCTTATTTCTGAAATTGATAAATGAAAATTATGAATAAAAGATTTGTTAGTCGTCATTAAAAATGCAAACGTTACAAATATAAGACGGTGGAGTAATGGAGACCGGCTCAGGTTGAGGAATCGGAGAGCCGAGTTCGAATTCCAGTTGAATCCATTGCATTCACTTACGTGCTAATACCCTTGGGAAAGGTATAAATCCTCTTCTTCTTCCATCTATGTGTAAATAGCAGGACAGACTGGATTCTATCACCTTGGATGGCAACTGGTCTACCGCAGAAAGAAATGGAACCTGCTTCGCGAAAAATTCTGCTTCGTCAGACACGTATCGAA